AGTGAAAAATGTTTGGGGAAGATAAGCAGGCTAATGTCAGTAGATTTTCTACACCAACACTCCTGTTGAACTAAATAGAGGTCGCTGCATGTTGCATACCAGCTGATAGATGGAGAGCTACAGCACATGTGCGCATTGTAGTTTGGCCAGCACACGTTAGGATCCTTTTTAGACACGAGTACATGCACACAGACATACACAGACAGACACACAGACATCCAAACACCTGCATCTTGCCCTGGGTTGTCCCCAGTCTGTGTTCCAGTCAGATGATGTTTGTATTTAACCGCTCATGCCAGTCACATTTATCTCATTTTGTTTGCCTTAGCAATAGGTTTCTTCATCACCCTCTGCACGCAATGTGTATGTGCACATACTAAATGTATTTGGGTAAACTTAGTGTGTGTGTGTGTGTGTGTGTGTGTGTGTGTGTGTGTGTGTGTGTGTGTGTGTGTCCTTTGGCAGACAGGTATATCTTAGAAAATGAATTAGACCTACATGTGTTTGTCTCGTTGCATAAGATCTGTGTGGTAAACAGGTTGGCTGTTTAATGTCTTGAAATGTTAAATAAAACTCTGTGACTGATAACAAATCTGCTCTCCCCTCTGCAGGACCCATACATCTTTGAGCCCAATTGTCAGATGAGGGTGGACGAATACGGCTTTTTCATCACCTGGAAGAGTGAGGGAAAGGTATGACCACCACATCGTCACCTTTTGTCTGTTCTCTTGTCTGCTACAGAGATCATGCAAAGAAAAAACTTGAACAGGATGACCAGGAGACAGAATCTAGAAGTCGAGAGAAGAGAGTTGTATCTCCTGGTGTTTTCAGAAATATCTTTTCTGACATAAAACCATCTTTGGTTCATGGAAACCATTAAAAAAATGGAGAAAAGAATCAATACTGACATGTCACTGAGAAACACAGTAAGCTACATTCTTGTGTTGTACTACAACATGTAATTTTACTTCAGGAAAAAGTCCTGAACATTCAGAACTTAATGTTGTACTTTGTTAACCTTTATGCAATGAGGGAATTTGAATAAGACTTGTTCCAGTAAACAGTAACAGGTGGTGTTTTCACTACTCAAATAGTCTGGTACTTAAAGCAAACAGCTGATGAAACAGTTTCATCACCCTGACAGAAGAAATGTGCGGGATACTGAGTGGATAAAATAAATATATAACATCTGACTATCAAGGCTCCCAAAATAAAAAAGTAATGACAGACCATCTCCCTCACGGCTGATGGTCTCCAGAGCATACAAAAGATGTTTACATTGATTTCCCACTTTTCAGGGAGCCATTGTTTTTTATTAAACTTCTGTCAGTAGTGAAGTTGCTTTTATAGTTGGTGTGTAACTATTATAAAAAAAAAAACCCTACATATTCTATAATGTACTGACATCCTTGTTTTTAAAAAGCCAAGCCTGTAGAACAAACAAACAGATATCCAACTATGCTCCTGTCATCTACATGTGTTCAGTCTGTGCAGGGAAACAGGTGGGTGGCTCACTGAGAATCAAACTTGTAAATTGCACCAATAGGTGTCATAACCACTATTCCCAATATACAAAGAGAAAATATTATAGTTATTGAAGACTGGATTATAAGAAAATTGTGGGGATATTACTCATATTTGGGCCATAATGGTCCATGTTAATAACTTGGTGTCGCTGTTACATACCGAGTATTAAAAGTAATTGCAAAAATCAAAAAGAATACATTGTGAGCCATCTGTGTTGTTTTCTTAATCTTCCCATCCCTCTCTGTCTCCCTCCTCACCTGCTCTCACCCCTCCCTCTGCCTCTTTCTCTGTATCCTTCTGTCCATGTATCTCTCCTGCAGGAAGGCCAGGTGCTCGAGTGTTCGCTCATCAACAGTATTCGTGTTGGTGCTGTCCCAAAGGTGAGACCTCAGGAAAAACAATTTCCTCGCCTCTGCCTCCTCAACATCCACGCTCTGTGCCCACCCCTCCCACTATTCAATCTCTTTCTCCCATGGCGACAGTGCTGCTAAAATCTAAGGAGACTGCGACATCAGGCGCGTTACTCACGCTTTAATTAGCAGAGGCTTCAGCAATGTAATCTATCGATCGACTGACTGATCTGGGACTCTCAGCTGAGGTCTCGCTGCCAAGCTTCTCTCTTTCTCCAGATTCACCTGGGGCACATGGAGAACATAAACATGAAATATTTAACTCATCAATATTTATACATCCCTGGCTGGGTTTAGCAGATCGTATCTGGAACTTTTTTTTTTTTTTTTTTTGCAGCCCTGGCTTGCGCCTTTGACCTAGAGAGGAATAATGAAAACCTTCCAGCCCTATTATGATGGGCTGTCAGAGAACCACTGGGTTAAGGAGTTCACTCCTATGGGATCAAATACTCACAGATATAAGATGTTCTGTCTCTGTGAGAATTGCTTTTCCTTATAGGAAACTGATCCTGAAATAGCCGAATGTATCTTCAAGCTGCATTGTTACTGGCATTTATTTATCTGATATGGAGCCAGATATACACACACACACTCACACACTGTTTCTCTGTATATTAAATATTGATTAGTGCAGTTTAGCTTTGACAGTGACACATTATATCGCAGTATTAGGCATCATGCAGACCAGATGAATTATGAAAGCTGTTACAGGAATACCCATGTGGACGCCTGCCTCTAATTAGGAGGCAAACCTGTCAAGCCACTTAAAGTCAGAGGCCTGACAGAAGACACTGGTGTGTGCTGTGTACATAACCTGGTTGTGTATGTACTGTTGACAGCAGGAGGGGGTCTGTTTGTTTGGTCCTCCGTGTGGACGTGTGCGTATGTACATGTGTGAGGGCACGTTTACAGATACTGCAGCCTGATAGCAGCTCCTCCTGTTTGTTCAAACGCTGTGTGCTGCTCTGTAAGTAGCAGGGCTTCTCCTCCCAGAGGTTAACGTGGTTACACAAGCTCTGAGAGCTGTTTCAGATAATCCAATGACTGAGAGAAGATGAATGGCGCTGGATGATTGCTGGCTGGGGTTTTAAAACAGCAGAGCCTGTTGCCTGTTGCTGTTAATTCAATCATATAACAAAAATACATGACTATCTTCATGGTGACGGTGGTGGCAGACTGAAATCTGATTGAAAAGATGAGTGGGAGGAGTCGTGCTGCGTTTTTGATAGTGAGAGAATGTTTCCACGGATTTTCTGTTTCACCGACTCAACAGAAGTTTGCAGTCACTTCAGACTGGTGGTGATAACTGTAGATTATTCTGAGGAAAACAACCAGGGGAACCACGGGTCTTTAAATCTCAGAAATGTCATATCTAATGTCTTATAAAATATAAGTTACTGTCACTAGCATTTGTAATTCAGAGTAACTTTAAATTTAAAACTATATAAATTCATAAGAATGTACACCGTTGAAGTATATGATGCAATTTTTCTTATTTGTTGTAATATTGGTGTTTATTAATTAGATGTTATCTATAGAATTGTTTTTGGTGCAAGCTTAGACAGTAAGAAACAAAATGAGGCATGATGTATGTAGTTTCCTACAGTTGAAACTATAAGGTCAGTTTTTATTTTCATATGGTTCCTCACATCATTAACTGGTCACATCAAGCATGACCCATATACAAATTTTTAGTTTTAGTTTTCTGCCTTTAATCTGGTGGTAGCAGTGAGAGAGAGACAGGAAAGTCAGGGAGAGAGAGGGGGGATGGCACTTAGCAAATGGCTGTGGGTCAGATTCAAACCTGGGCCCGCTGCAGTTATGACTAAGCCTTCATGGTACACTCTCTATCAGGTAAGCCACCAGGACGCCCCCACATGCAAATTTATTATTAAAATAATAGCGTCCTGGATGGAGTTAATAGAATGTAGCAAACATTTTGGACATCATCATGTAACCAAGACTTTCCTTTTTCTTACAATGCTCAGTTATATATTGTTTCCTGACCTTCATTATCTGTATTCTATCAGAATCCAAATCACTTTTTTGTTGCCTGTTTGTTGTGTTTCTGTTTTGGTTATTAGATTTGTTTTATGGACCAGGCAGCACTGAAATGGTTTTTCAGTTTTCTAGTCTGAAACCTGTTGCAACAGATTTGTAGTCGCAGTAAAAACCCTGCACATGTGCAGTAAACAGAAACCTACAGTGGCAACCATACCTTGCAGGGCCTTACATTCATTTATTACATAGTTTGAAAAAAGCTTGTCATAGCAACATAAAACCTGACATCTTGTCTTTGGTGTCACTGGGCTGTGATTCCCTGAGGCACACACACAAACCAAAGTACACATGTTTTACCCACAACTGATGAGGTAACCTCCTTTAACGTTACAATATACGGGAGTTACAGTGTCGCTCACAACTTGACAACAGTGTGGACCTCATTCACAGTCATCTCCACTAACCTTCTCCAACCTGCTCCAGCTAAGTGAAGTCTTGCTTCCCAGCACTGTTGCACCGATCGATATCAGGAGTCAGTGGAATCAATGATCTGTCACACTGTTGGGATGAGCTTTGGGAACTAAGATTTCTTTTGATTTATTATTTTGATTTCTTCCTCCGTGATGGATATGCATTATATTGCTCTTCAGCCGACGTGGAGCTTCAAGTCTCCCAAGCACGACACGGTGTATATCATGCTTTCTTAAATTCTTCTCCAGAACAGCAATAAATATTTCAACAGCCTTCTCTCTAAGCTCCTCACCCTTTGTGTTGTGTTTTCTTGTCACTTGTTTTACTGCAATAATACCAGAGCAGGAGATTAAGACCTGCCCTCAGAGGCTTTCTCCATTCCCTCTACTAACTGTATTATTTTACACCTGGATAACACACACACCTTTGCTTTGCTTTATCTCCCACCTGTTTCTGTCTGATGACACTTCTTTGGCTGTTTGACTGCCTACTAAAACTGTCTTCCTTTTTCTCTTTCCCCTTCCTTTTTCTCAGGACCCAAAGATCTTGTCATCATTTGAGGCCATTGGAAAGACGGAGGCAGACTTGGAGGGCTGTATCATCTGCATCTGCAGCGGCACAGACCTGGTCAATCTGAACTTCATGTTCATGGTGGCAGAGAGCCCAGACACAGCCAGGGTAAATACATGCAGTTACTCTATTTCCACAGCTCAGTGCTTTGGCTCTGCTCTTAGGATGGCTTAGGATGTGAAACGGCAGACTGGTGTAGTACATGTGTTGAGATTGACTTTTGCACTGACATGAAAAATCATCTAATTGAAAGTGAGAGCAGCTTTGTCCAAATATAGAGTACACTATCTTCCACTATCTTCTAAAATACGGTTGTTCTTCTGCTTCACACACACACACACACACACACACACACACACACACACACACACGCACAGATAGATCTAAACATATCCACTCTCTGTTTTTTTCATACCCCCTTCAGCGACAAATTGTACTTAGTTGGCTCCCCCCTAACTAAAACGGCACTTCATTCAAATATGCCACAACATCAGCAGAACTCCTCAAAACCTGAAGATGCAGTTGAGGGGTAGCATTTTACATGTACGTCCTTGATAGTCGGAAAACAAATGTTCTGAAAACAAAACCAGCGCAACCTCTGCTTAGCACCCGGAGCACCCCCTGTAATTCATTCAACATTTCCACAGTATGTACAGAGGCTAAAAGAAAACCCCAACACAGCAAATATTTAATTCAGAGACAAAGCAAACAGGCAGTTGGATGGTTCATATGCCAGCTCCTACAAAAGGTAGAACTGACCTTGGTTTATTCTGATAAATAGACACATTTAGAATGACTCATTTTCCCCCATCTCACCTCATCTCTATCTCATTGGGTCCCTCCTGCACTCCTGCTTTTGCTGTTATTTTCTGATCCTTTTTGTCTTGCTCTAAGTCTCCTCTCTCTCTCTTGCTTTTTATTCTCTCTTTTTTCCTTCCCACTCATCTAGGAAAAAGCTCTGAGAGAAATCTGACGGGCTGATTGCGTAGAGAAGCACCTTTCTCTTTATTGCTTTCTCTCCTCTTCCTCACTCATCTCTTCCCTTCTGTTTTGGGCTCAAAAAGATGACACCACCTCCTCTCTCTGTCTTTCTCTCTTTCTTTCTTTTAATCAGCAGACATTATTATTGCTGACCCCTGCTGGCAAACCTTCAGACACTGTATACAGCTCACAATGCACAACTGAATGTGTGAATTAAATGTCATTTATTTTGGACCTGAATTGATTTGGATTTCAAGACTGACACCAGCTAGATGAACCAGAAAACAGAGTCTTCAGTGATGGTATAATGAGATGCTTTACACTCAGAGAATTAAAGCAGGTGTTGGTTAAACTTTAAAAAATAAGGCTGGTGTTATTCTATATTTTCCTTATTGTTAACAAATTCGAAGAAATGGTCGGAATCAATAATAGTTGGTTGTCCTCTCAATTCTTTCGGACTTCCCTATCTTGTCTGTGGCACTCTCCAAGCCCGTTTGTTCCTATTAAAGACTTAAGTCTTTTAAAATGAGTTACAAATATATAGTTTAATTATATAAAATGATTTCCTAAAACAGCTGGGTACTGTAGTTTTTATAAATCAGTGATCATTGGGGGGAGCTATTTTTGGCTGCAGATTAATACCCATTAGATATGCTAGAGAGCATTTATGGCAGCAGCATAGTGCATGAGGGATTGACTCAAGTAAGCTACAGTGCCCATGTTCATTGTAATTTGGGAATATGTCACCCAGTGCAATCGTGTGGCTGTGTGATGTGTTTTTAATAGTTTTTAAACACAAACAGGTCTAAATATAAGGCTGTAGCTACACAGGCAATACTTGTTAGTAGGATCAATTCAATGTTGTTGTTTTTTTTTTTGTTTTTTTTTCCATGGCATTTGTCATTTGACAATAACAAAATGTACTGCACGATGTCGCCATCCTTTGACTTTCTGGCAAAGCCTTGGACGGCTGTTTTAAATTACAGGCAGCTTCAAGGCAATGGAAAGTTGTGGAGAAAAAAGTCAGTAAAGGTCAACTACTGTATCTTTTATTTAGTGACAAATCCATTGTGGCCAAAAGGCTTGGCTTTAACTGAAAGACACAAAGCCAAGGCAGGAAAAAGCAATGTCACAACTGCGAGTGAAGTTTTTTCTCAACCTGAGGGTCGTCTGCCACACACTCAATCAATCCAGAGTAAATGACATTCAAAGAGTTTTTAATGAAAATAAAGAGTGAATTTATGTAAACTTGCACATCTGTTGTTAGTGCAGGAGGATTGTTTAAGAAAAGTACAGAGCTCACTGGATGTGACATGACACAGCAGCATACTGCAAGCCTTAATGAAAATATTTTTCAAGTAATGTATTAGAAGAAAAACGTCCCCAGGATTCAAAACCGCAGCCAGTTATAGACCAGTTTGAAAATACATGTTTTGTGCCTGCACAGATCTGTTATTAAGCGCCACCGTGTTGGTGTTTATGCAGCACCCATGAGAGGGTGTTTTTGTGGTGATAGGTGTTAGAAATGATGTTTGCGCTCCGGAGAGCTCGCAGCCACAGGGCTGCCAATGATATTCATGCAACAGCCTTCAGCAGGGAGGCCTGATGGTTTAAAACGCGCACACACATATACACACACACGCACACACACACACACACACATACACCTTCATCCTCCACAGTTTAAAACACATTCGTCTGCTATTTCTGTCCCCTTCCCTCTCTCTCTCTCTCTTTCAGACACACACACACACAGATACAAACACCATGCCACCATCAGCACCTCCCAGCATGCAGGTAGCCCTAAGTAGCAGACCTCAGGAGATGACAGAGTTATTTACATCAGCAGACACACACTCACACAAACACACACGGCTTCACAGACACCACATGCCCAAACAGACTACCCCTGCTGCACCCTGTTATCTTGTTTAATGTTTTTATAATGATGTCAGTAATAATTTGCTGTGCAAGCGGACGAGAGACAGAGCACATAGAGGGAGAGAGACATTCGGAGATGGAAAGCCAGGAGGGTCAAAATTGCTCAGATTATCATCCTCAGTGTTGTTTCTGTCGATGCAGTCAGCATCAGTGTATTCATGTAAAAGTTACAAGGCCTTCTCTGGCTATTTGTTTACTGTCACTGCTTGTAGCCCTGAAAGAGCCCAGTGTGTTTGTGTGTTTGTGTGTTTGTGTGTTTATGTGTGTGTGTGTGTGTGTGTGTGTGCGTGTGTGCGTGCGTGCGTGCGTGCGTGTGTGTGTGTGTTCCTGATTGTCCTGTCCAAACTCTCGCCCATGCATGTGAATTAAGAGGCAGTTCATTCGCTTGTGTTTATTTCCCCAAAGACACTCACTTCTAAACACAATACACACTTCTGCATATTCCCTCGGCTGCTGTGCATTTATGGGCCTCTGATGGTCAGTGTGTTTTTGGAGGATAAGTGTGTGTGTGTGTGTGTGTGTGTGTGTGTGTGTGTGTGTGTGTGTGTGTGTCCTGAATACTTGTGCTTGTTTGATTGCAGAAGTGGATCGAGGGTTTGAGGTCAGTGATTCACAACTTTAAAGCCAACAACGTCTGTCCAATGACCTGCCTCAAGAAACAGTGAGTGCATTTTGCTGCACACTTTCCTCGTGTCTCAATTCTAAGTTTTCAATTGTGCTCTAAACAGTTTAAAGTTCACTTTTATTTGCTCTAAATGTACATGATGTAATTCTGGTGAGAATGAGCCCATGTTCTTCTCTCCTTCAGCTGGATGAGAATGTGCTTCCTGACCAATGTGAATGGGAAGATCCCTGTGAGAGGGTAAGAGTAAATTGATTGGATATTGTATCAACCACTGTACCATGATTCTGCCTGAATCCATTCTATTCTGGTGCCATTCACTCATCTTACTCTTCAGCTGTTCTGCCTTTTTCTCCTCCTTCTCTCTTGTAGCATTACACGGACATTTGCATCAGGGAAGACGGAGAAGGGGATTTTTCAGGCTCTGAAGGATCTGGGCCTTCCTAGTGGAAAGGTCAGACAACACTGACTGTGCACTGCAGTGGTCAGATGGATCTATGCTGATTGTGACTGTTTAACCTGTCAGTAAATAGTTCCTATGTTAACACATGGCAGACTTGTTTATCATCCCCAGAACGATGAGATTGAACCATCAGATTTCACCTACGACATTTTCTACGCGCTCACACAGAAGATCTGCCCTCGCACAGACATAGAGGAACTCTTCAAGAAAATGTGAGTCTCCTTTTTAATCTGCACTAATTTTTGTGGTTGTAATATTCACTAATTTTGTACCTAAAATAAACAACTTACAGTGGTGCCCTTGCATTGCACTGTGCCCATGTTACCTGGGGCTTAAATAGAACAACGATATCCACTGTTAAAATGATCCCCCAAGTGTGAGCTACTGCATCTTGTTGGAAATAATCAGGACAAATGTTTCTGCGCCTGCTGCACTAACTATGTCTGGACAGCCTAACCTGCTTCCACAGTTCATTAATTATGTTCAACCTAATGACAACATTTAAAAAAAAAAAAAAAAAAAGTGATGATTAACATGTTGTTACTAAAAGTGTAACATTGAAGAATGATCCTCTTTAAAGACTTCTTTCTAATTTTAACTGACTGTGTGAATGACTGTGAGAGTGTCTATTTTAAGAAGCCTAACATTTTGTTTTTCTTTTTCTTTTTTTTTCTAATTAATTCCTTTGCAGCAATGGGAACAAAACTGATTATTTAACTGTAGACCAGTTAGTCAGCTTTCTGAATGAAGTAAGCTCTTTATCATTCATTAACTTCTCTGTGTATTTGGCTTGCCCGTGCCCCTCTCCGCAACTCCCCTGCTTTACCCCATCCTGCTCTGGGTGAAAGTTGCCCTCCAGCCCAAACTGCACATCAGCTGACCCTCATTAAAACTCCATTAATGAGACAGACAAAATATTTAACTTCCAGTCAGTCTGCAAGGGCAACTTCAACCAGCTGCCCTATTCTGCATGCCCACCCTCATCCCATTCCCTGTATTCTCCCTACCGCGGCTTGCCTCCCTGCGTCTGATTGGTGTTGCCATGGCAACGGGAGGGCAGAGATTTCCATCCTGTTGCATCCTGCTTGGCTCATCTTGTTTCCTGCTGTCTGTGTCTGCGTTCTGTGGCCGTGCTCTTTGTGGCTGAATACCTGCCTGGTCCCTCTGCTGTGCAGTCGAGTCGCATGTGTGCTGCTTCGTGCCCAGTCCAATGCATCACACTCTGGCCCCTCCCATAGAGCCACAGCTTTGGTTAGATTAATTCCCACCTGGCTTACTGAGTGGGCAGTGGCGTTAAAATGATGTTTTGATTCTGTTGTTTTGCTAATGTTGAGCTGCCTTGAACCCCTCCGACATGTATGGCTCCCCTACTTTTAAGCAAACATTTAATCACTGCACCTCTTAGTGTGGCTCAGTTTCTTGTGAATATTTCACAATGAAATTGTGTTTATTACATCCTGTTCAGACGTAAGTGCTTTCTATTTAAGACCACATTAAGTAAGCTATAAGCAACTATACTGATTAAGAATAACTAGATTAAGAAAATTCATATTAGTCCAAACAAGGAAATTACAGATTTGGAAATGAGCACTGTTAGTACTTTGTCTCATGTTGCATTAAACTGACCCCTGTCCTCTGTGTCAGTGCAAGATGTTTTTTTTTGTAGATCCAGTTTGTGTTTGGAAATAACTGTGTTTTGTGTGGATGATTGTGCGTGTGCGTGTGCATGTGTTGCTCTACAGAACCAGCGTGACCCAAGGTTAAATGAGATTCTCTTCCCATTCTACGACCCTAAGAGAGCCATGCAGATCATCGAGAAATACGAGAGAGATGAAGGGCTGAAGAAGAAAGGTAAAAGAGATGCATGGAGGGAAGGAGGAGGCAGAAAGATATTTTAGGCTGTGCTGCCATCTAGCTGTGTAACTTTGAAGCTGCAGTATGTCACATCAGATCATTGGCATCGTTCTCTGCTGAAATAGGTGGTAACAATTATTTTCAGGCTCTTCCTTATTGTTCCTATTATCACGAATTGACAAAGACACAGTTACTGGTTGTGCTTTGAACTTTTGACACAAAACAGCATCCACACAGCAATGGGATCTGAAATCCTATGGCCTGAAACTTCTATATACTGCAGTATAGACTAATTATTGCTTTGTCATATAATAATTTTATCATCTTTATAATTAGCATGAGCTGCCCACCAAAAAGTCTGGTCAAATAATCAAAAAAAAAACTACCATGTCTCCTTTTACCTAGGTCACATGTCCAGTGATGGGTTCTGCCGGTACCTGATGTCAGATGAAAATGCTCCAGTTTTCTTAGACCGGCTGGAGCTGTACCAGGAAATGGACCAGCCACTAGCCCACTACTTCATCAGCTCTTCCCACAACACTTATCTGACAGGCCGGCAGTTTGGAGGGAAGTCCTCAGTAGAGATGTACCGCCAAGTCCTACTGTCTGGATGCAGGTACACAATTGTGTCATGCTCTGTGAAGATGGTTGAATACACATGTGAAGGTTTAGACACATGCACAACCCACTGTATTTATGCAAACAGTATGTGGATAAGATCAAGCTGCTCTTAATTATCCATGTACGTTATGTCCATCCTCTCAGATGTGTGGAGCTGGACTGCTGGGACGGGAAAGGAGAGGACCAGGAGCCCATCATCACTCATGGCAAGGCCATGTGCACGGACATCCTGTTTAAAGTGAATGAACACACACACACACACACACGCACAGTCTGTTTCTAGGAGCCTCACTGTTCCTTCATAATGTGTGCCTGCCCCTTAGTGTTGAGAGCGTGATACTTCATCTATCATGACTTCTGCCTCTTCATTCTGTTATTTTGTTCTTCTCTCAAATTCTTCCTCTCTTCTGCTCCTCTTCCACCAGGATGTTATCCAAGCCATCAAGGAGACGGCATTCGTCACTTCAGACTACCCTGTTATTTTGTCCTTCGAAAATCATTGCAGGTAGATGTGCAATCAGCAATAACCAAAGTGTGTTAATACATAATGATTTAGCTTTTGTGATTATTTGCAGTAATGCTTTATAGGTATACAGTACATTGACACAATTCAGTGTGTGTGTGTGTGTGTGTGTGTGTGTGCGCGCGCGTGCGTGTGTGTGTGCGTGCGTGCGTGTGTGTGTGCATGTGTATGTGTCACCAGTAAACCACAGCAGTACAAGATGGCCAAATATTGTGAGGAGATCTTTGGCGACCTCCTCCTCAAACAGCCTCTGGAGAACTATCCGGTGAATACTTCCCTTTTGATCCACAGTGATTTTATTACAACAGGATGATGGTGGTCCATATTTAAGTGTATGACTGTGTTCTCTTTGCCAGATTGAAGCAGCGCGCCCCTTACCCTCTCCGAATGACCTCAAACGTAAAATCCTCATCAAAAACAAACGTTTGAAACCTGAAGTGGAACAGAGTACGTACACAGCTCATCCTACTGATGTGTCAGATATCTAGGTCATTATGACTTTGTTTCTCCCTTATCTCGTGTTGTAACATGAGTGTCTTTGCATGTAATACAGAGCAGCTAGAGGCCTTTAAGAAACACATGGAGGCAGGAGAGACCAACACCTCTGCCATCATCATGGGAGAGGAGAATGAAGAAGACACAGAGAACGGTCAGTCTGTTTGTGTGGATATATGTGAAATGGTCAATTGTAAGACAAACTGGGTGCATCAGGAGCCACAGGTTATGCCTGGCTTAGTGTTCCCATAGCTGCATGGGTAGTATGGTACAAAGGAGGAGGTGTTTCAGGCTGGCATATATGCAACATGATGCCATATTAAAAACCTTTTAGAAAATCGTGTTTCTTAGGAAAATGATTGGAAAACACTCATTTTGATAGCTTTTAATTTGATTTTATAAAGATCAGTGTTACAGAATAAACAAAAGATTCTGAAAAAGTGGTATCAAATGCATACTGTAAAGTAAGATTGCTTAGTCACAGCTGAATGTATCAAATAATGAAAATATGTGCTCCAGTATTCATTTCTTTGTGTGTTTAGGAGAAAAAGACGCAGAGGATAAGGATTTGAATTCAGAGGCCCCCAGTCTGTCAGAGGCAACCAGTGAGAAAGACACCAACAGTGTTTCCCAGAGTAACACTGTCAGCATGAGCAAAGAAGAAGAGCGCAGTAACAGTATCAAGAAGGTGGGTTGGCACACTGATGACTGACTGGCATCTGAAAATACCAAACTTAACTATCTGATACCACTATGGATATAGTGTCTTAGACTTACATTAGATCACTGGGCAATGAGATTCAGAAATGGCTACAGCACTATAAATGTTGTTGAAGTCAATGGGAAAGTAGAAGAGTAGCATCTCTACCTGCAGTTATCTGGCCTCCCAAGCTGAAGTACCCACTGCAACAAAAAAGACAATGAAACCAAATTAGAAAAGTCACTGAAAACCTCACAAGACCCCTTCCCAAAATTAAATCCCTTACATACAACATCATGCAAGCTGTAAGGATGTCTCTGATTGGAGATAGATCAGCCTATACATATAAAGTCAGAAATGTCATTATGAATTGATGATACATCAACTGGGAATGAAGCACAGAAATGATATTGAGAGGGAACGTTCGGTTGGATGTGTTTTTTATTTTGCTGTGTTTCCAGGTGCCTGATGATGAAGTGACTGAGATTTCTGAAGCGACAGATGCCACAGATATCTCTGAAGCATCTGACCAAGACAATAACAAGAAGGCAAGTACCCATCAGCCCCCACTCGTTCTTTCACTCACTCCCTCACACAATCTAATACTTAAAAAGAACTAATGTCTGGGTTGAGACACAAGGATTTGTGTATGTGCCCCTGTGCAGGGTGGGGATGTGGCAGAAGACTCTGAAGAGGCCCTTATAGCTCAGTACACCTATGTAGGAGCCACCACCAACATCCACCCCTATCTCTCAGCCATGGTCAACTACGCACAGCCTGTCAAGTTCCAGAGCTTTGATGTGGCAGAGGGTGAGCTTTGACTTCCTCCTTGTGTGTTTTGCAACTTTTTAATTTGCCTCTTCAATGATTATGCAGGCATATTGTTCATGAATACACAATATGAATGAATACAATCATTTAGGACTGAGAACACTGTCATTTTATTCTGAATATTTGTATAGTTTTATTCTGTTTTGCACTGGATAAAAGCAATATTCTTTGTCTTTGCAGGTTTTCATTTGTTGCATGAACTCTCTACAATCAAAATGTTAATGCCAAACAAATCCAGTTCATTTCAGTGCTCTTCATGATTTTTCTCTGTCTCCCAGAAAGGAACATCCACCATAACATGTCATCCTTTAACGAGTCTGTCGGCCTGGGTTATCTGAAGACTAATGCCATAGAGTTTGTCAAGTATCCTTTGAACTGTTGCACTGCTTTTCTCTGATACATAGAATTTCTCTAAAAGGGACGTAAAAGCTAGAAAAATATACGGTATAGTGGTCACACTGTTGTAGTATGTGTTACATTACCTCTGTGCTTCAGAAAATCTTTTAATGATAATGAAAAATCCAAGGTGATTGAATTGAAGAATTGACTCTTCAGAGTCTTCTGCAGCTTTCTGCTACTATACTAAAAACTGAACAAAATGCTTCAATTTGGATGTTTTGTTATGATCACCACTACTGAGATTTCCACTGTTATTCACTGAGCACATTTAAATTTTCCACACCTGAACACACCTATGCAGCTCTCTGATGAAATCTGAGTTTGAACTTAATAAGGTCACTGAAATGAGAGCTGAGTGGCAGGTCAGAGCTGATGTTTTTCAGCCATATTTATTTCCACTCAGCTGCTGGAAAAGAACTGGAGGTCTCTAGAGGCCGATGTGCCTTTAGACTTGGCCTGACACTCATACACACATACACTTGCCTCCCTCCCTCCCTCTCCAATGGGACTGCTTGACCCAAGCTGTTCACACTAAAAATAGTCCTGCAGTCTGTCAGATGCACGCACACACTCCAATCCATACACACATGTGCTGTAACACACATGGTCTCCCTCTTTTTTTTTTTTTAAATTTCCTGAGCGTCAGCGCAGCTACAACAAGCGTCAGATGAGCCGTATCTACCCCAAAGGGGGGCGGGTGGAGTCCAGTAATTACATGCCTCAGATCTTCTGGAACGCAGGCTGCCAGATGGTCTCACTCAACTTCCAGACCCCAGGTACCACAACATGCAACATGGGACCTCTGACTTCACACACTCATGCACATAGAAGCACATCACATAGAGTAATACAAACACATACAAATGCAAGCAGTCAGTCAACCTTTTCATCTAAGAAAGCGTAGCATTCAGTGAACTTCTGACCTCACATATTCACACATCATAAGCTTCTTATAGTATGCGTGTGTTATCTGGATGAACATGGACACACTAATCAAAAACCCTCACTACCCAACCACCTTGCAAATGCACACATCCAAATATAAAACAGCAAGAACATTTTCACTTTATGAAGATCCAGTTCATTTCACCTTAATTATAAAAAAAGAAAAAGCATTTTCCCTTTTTCTGATATGTGTCTGAAACTTCTGCCACCACTCCAATGCAATGAGGGTGAATGAAAAAAAAATTGAATATGAAATACTCAACAGCATCATATTAATCCAGAGACAATGTCCCAGCTAGCCTAGATAATCCACAGATTTCTACTGGGTCTTTTATTTAGTTAAAAAAGAAGTGTTTATTTGAGTGTGTGTACGTAGTTGGGGTGCAGAATTTTGTTTTGGGGAAAGGGGTATTTCTCCCACAGTGTTTGCTTTACAAAAACTATGTCCACTACATACAGGATCAGGCATTTTCACCAAATTTGTTGCATAAAAATGTATCCTGCACCACACTGGGCCAATCATTGTCTTACATAAGCATACACACTCCTTGCCTGTGGAGACATAACACAATGACTTCTTAGTCTCTGTGAGTAGTTTGCATGTCATTTTGCAGCATCAGGTTATGCATGCATGAGCATGCACACATACACACTCATCTCCTACTCCACTCACCCACTTCATCTGTTTTTCACTTAGTCTCTCTCAAAAACATGCGCACACACACACACACGCACGCACGCACGCACGCACACACACGTGTACTTCATAAACTGTCACAGCCACATACACACCTATACAGTGATGCCTGTTGTAAAACAGCTGTAGCCCCATGGCCAGAGGCGAGAGGGTTCAGACCATATGGCTTGCTGGGAGCATAGCATGTGCAAAGTTGGAGGTGGGGGGGGGGAGAGCTTCGGTGATGGAGAGATGAATGGTTAGAGGGAAGAAAAACAGATGTTAACAGAAACATAAAATCCTCCATTTCTTTCAGCAAAGAAAATGTGCCACAGAAACGGATGCAAATGAAGTGAATTGTTAATTGTTTTGTTTAAGACTTGATGTTTGTGTGATGTAATGTGAGAACCTAATATCTCTGTCTTATTCTCTCTCTCTCCCTCTCTCTCTCTCCCTCTCTCTCTCAGACCTGGCCATGCAATTGAATCAGGGAAAATATGAGTACAACGGTTCCTGCGGGTGAGAAAAGCTGCTCACTCCTGTCCTGAGCTCATTCCCATCCATCCCATCCCTCCTTTCTCCGCCCCTCTCTGAAACTCATCAATTAAAGCTTGTCACATCTCATTAGTGGTTGCCAGCGGCGACCGTAGCTACTGTCTACCCCGAGAGCCAGTGAGTGCTTTGGAGAAGCAGGCTCCTCTTCACTTGCCTCTGAGGCTCTCCGCAGTCATCTATCTCTTCCTCTCTCCATCGTCGTCTTTGTCCCTTGACTCTAATACTGTCCCTGAGGGCAGAGATTTAACTGCTAATGCTGGAAATCTCATATGTGGGGAGATCAGGGCTTTTGCAGACACCCATCATTACTAATGCCACTCTGTGTGTTAACCAGGGGCCCATCAAACTCCCACACACAAAGCCTTAGTGCCTCCTTATTCCCGATAGATCATTAGAGAGCATCACAGACCATATATTACATCAGAACATCAGTGTTCTCTTGATCTTAACGGTAGATTGATTCTGCTGTGTGTGCATTTTCCTTCATTCATCTCCTATTGCGTGTGCATTAGGTACCTGCTGAAGCCCGACTTCATGCGACGGTCAGACAGGATGTTTGACCCTTTCTCAGAGACACCAGTGGATGGTGTCATTGCTGCAACCTGCAGCGTACAGGTGAGGACATCTGACACTTGAGACAACAAGAAAAACGAAAAGAAAAAAGAAAAAGTTAAATACTAAAAAGAAAAAAGAAAATTACAGCATTTTAACATAAAACTTCTCCATAAAGGTAGATATACTGTCATATTTAGGCATAGTTTGAAGGCTTGGTTATCTCACAGCATGGTGCACTATTCCAGGGAGGCAGTTAGTTATCTTTTCTTGCTGTTTCCTCTTCCTTTTACTTTTATATTTACTGTCAACAAAGTTCTTGTCTTATTAAACACTGAAGTAATTATTACATTATACTTCAATTTTGGTTACTCCAAAGATGCAGATGGTGTTGACTACAACTCATACCTACTGCATCAAGAATATGATCCAATGTCAGTGAATAATTATTTTTGAAATATTATTCCTGTAAAATCCTAGCATTCAAAAATATAAATACTGATGCATTTCTGTTTACTTCAGGTGTTCTCTGGACAGTTCCTGTCAGATAAGAAAATTGGCACATACGTTGAAGTCGACATGTACGGGCTGCCGACGGACACCATCCGGAAGGAGTTTCGCACACGTATGGTGATGAACAACGGGCTGAACCCCGCCTACAATGAGGAGCCTTTCGTCTTCAGAAAGGTAGCGAGAAGGGCAGGAGAGGGGTTGGGTGAGCCAGGGGAGGGGCTAAGAGTGAAGATAATGGATACAGTGAGTTAAAACAAATGTGCTGCACATTTTCAAATGCTGTGATGAGAGCTGTAATATTTGAACAGTAGGAGGAAAGGAATGCAGGGCAGCCACTGATTTAGGTTGGAAAAAAGGTCTCAGTGATGATGGAAAAGAGAGGGTAGAAAAAGACAAATAATGTGGCAGAACTAAACAAGAGTAAAGATTGGTAGTTAAAAATCTAGAAATGTCTTTTCAACAAAGGAAAAAAGTGAGTGAGTGATTTGGGATACTCAAAGTGTTGCAAGTGTCACAAACCAAAAGAGTGAGAGAGTAGGAAGAAAGAGGCATCTAGGTTTACCTGTGTTTTAGCTCACAGAGGAAGAAAGGGGGGAAACAAAGGACAGCACGAAGAAAGGAACAACAGAAACAAACAGAAAAACAAACAATTAGAGGTGGAGGAACAGAAAGAAAGGGAGAGAGACGGGAGACGGAGAGAGCAAAAGACAAAAAGTGTGTGCGTGCGTGTGTGTGTGCGCGTGTGCACACAATAGTGCTGCTCTCAGCAGAATGAGGATTCTCTCAGCCATGACTGTGACTCCAGCTTTCTAACACACACCATCAATCACAGCCTGCCGCAGTGCTGCTCTGCTCGCACACACACACACACACACACACACACACACACACACACAAACTTACATAGTGCTATCGAAGAGGGGCATCACAAGCAGAGCTGCTGGCAAGACTCCTTCCTCACATCTACACATACACAGACACAAACACCCTGAAATGCTGCCACACCTTTTGCATGCATGCATACATAGTGCTGTCAAGATGAGTCGGAGCAAGCAACACACACCAGCAGCACTCACACGCAGTACATTGGCAAGGCCAAGTTTGCGCAGGTAAACACACAAGCAGTGCTTCCACCCATTCATCTCATGTGAGTATTCTTCGGCCTTATCTCTTACCTTCCCCTTCGTCTGCGTATTAATCATCCTCCTCTCGCTGTTCACTTATCTCCACACACAAGGCCAGTTAAGACTCTCGCTCCCTCTCTTTTTTTTTTTCTTTTTTTTTTCCAAGGGTGTGCACACATAAGTTCATCCACAGACACAAGTTACATACACACATACATATATACAAGATATCCTCCATTCCCTGGGTATGTACTAGTGATGGAAAATGGTCTTTTCAGTCCTAGATATGCTGTGTGTTGCTCCGCTATCATGCCTGTTCCCTGTATCTGTACCGTGACCATCCTCTGACAGTGTTCCCTGCAGATTCAGCCTTGACCTTCGCCTTTAATGACGCTCTTTCACTTTAGCTTAAAAGAGACAATTTTACTGCAATGGCAGTATTTGTCACTTACCTATTTTCACACCAGAATGAGTTCCACAGGGACTGACTCATAACTATGACTTTTATTTTAAGTCACACTTTTTTTCCTTTTTGCCCCCCCCCACCCCCCACCCATTCTTTTCTTTTTTTCAAAATTCTCATTCTTTCCCCCTCCCACTCTCCCTGCTTTTCCCTTCATCCACCCGTCCTAGGTGATCTTACCGGATCTGGCAGTACTGCGCATCGCAGTCTACGACGACAACAACAAGCTGATTGGCCAGCGCATCCTGCCTCTGGACGGCCTGCAGGCTGGCTACCGTCACATCTCGCTGAGGAATGAGGGCAACAAGCCCCTATCGTTGCCCACCATCTTCTGCCAAATCATCCTCAAGACCTACGTGCCCGACGGATTCGGAGGTGAGGGAAACAGGAACACACACACACACACACACACACACATCAATTACAAAACTTACTTACTTACAAAGCTGTATTGCCTGATGTTCTTCATTGTGTAAACGCAGAATTACAGCTTTGTTTCACACTGACATACTTGGTTTTACTGCCTCAGTTCAGCCTGTGGGGAGAGGAGAGAAAAAAGGAAAGCGATGCAGTTCCCTCTCCCCACTCACTCTTTTGCATTGGGTTGGTTTGAACATTCAGAGTAATGGCATGGTGATAAAAATGATGATGGCAGTGAATCTGCAGTAAGACGGTTTAAAACAGGCAGCAGCATACAAATGAGCGGGACAATTTAATGAGTTGTCATTAAATAAAGCCAAGGGGCTTTCACTGAGGAGCCATTACTGTAACCATTAGCTTACTTCGGTAAGATATGATGCCAGAATCGCTTCCCTACCAGACATGTAGCATTGTCCTTGGAGTTCAAAATAAAATCCTTTCCTTAAGAGGCGGTGTTATTTAAACAACTAAGATCCTGTCTTGACTAGTTTCCTTTCTCAGCATAATGAGGCATCATGCAAGAGGAGGATAGATTTTGTGGCACTGTGCATCTCTGTGAGCGGAAGACGACATGAATCTTCCACACTTTGTGTACTGCCTTTCTTATTGCAAATTAGTCACTGTTTTCAAAAAGAAATATTGTTTTAACCACTTCAGAGATTTCTCTTTACCGTTTAACATTTAACCTCTAACCTTCGTTTTGGTAAACTTGGAATAAAAGTCATTTGTAGTCTGTCTTAAGGGTTACTTGAACATTTACTCAGAATACATTTGGCAAAGCACAATCCTTCATCCCACCAAGTTTATCAGTTCATCTTCTCTTTTCGCTTTGGTATACTAATTAATCATTGTGTGTGTTTCAGCAATTGTGGATGCTCTATCGGACCCAAAGAAGTTCTTGACCATAGCAGAGAAGAGAGCCGACCAGATGAAGGCCCTGGGGATTGACACGGTATACGACAACAAACACACACACACGCCTGAAGCCTCATATTGAGTTAATCGAAATGCTTATCTCCGTAGTATTTTGAATAATTATTTCTGATTGACAGGGTAAAACTCTCACGCTCTCGTACAATTAAAAACATCATCACTTTACACTTAAAGCCATCCTCTCCCTGTTGTAGAATGACATAGCAGACGTTCCCAGTGGAAGCTCAAAGAACGACAAGAAGGGAAAGGGTAAAGGAGACACTGTGAAGGCCAGTGTGACACCACAGGCCAGCTCAGACATGGCCCAGACCTCCAACTCCGCACAGAATAACACAGCAGAAACCAAGAAGGGTATATACTGACTTAAATCATACATATTAAACACATACATTTGTACAGTATGTACACAGAGTTAAATTTCTTTTTCCTCTGCTGTTACAGACACTGCACTCGTGCCTAATGTCAGCATTGATGACTTAAAACAAATGAAGGTCGGTATCCTAACTCCTGACTCTAAACTCATAACACAGCCCCTGCAGTTTAGTCTGTAGAGATGTATTAAATGTGGAAGAATAAGGAAAAATGTATTAGTAATAACAGAGTAATATATGGTTCAAAAAGGTAATCCAAGAAATGGATTTTATCATGGCTGTACTAACAGTATACTTTGTACTGTCTCTTGGTAAAACTATACTATTATAATTACCCTCTTGTAATTTGGATAATTTGGATAATAATTTGACTAATTGTTCAGCCCCAGAAGAAACTAGTGTACTGTATACGTGCTACCCTAAAATGCCTATACCCAGCCATTATATTGCCCCTGTCTGGTGTGTTCAAAGGCTCTTCTCTACATGACCTGTGCAAGATAACTAAATATGCTTCTCTCCCACTGCAGACGTACCTTAAACTGATTAAAAAACAACAGAAGGAGCTCAGCGCTTTAAAGAAGAAACACTTAAAGGTGGGTGATTGATTTAATGCAGACCTGTCTGTTGAAAATGCAAAGAGGCTCCTGCTTATTCTGGGCGGTTATTGATGCTCAGAGGGACAGAAACAGAGCCAGGGGGCCGCTTCCACCTTTCATCTTCCACTGACCATTGCTTCATCGCTGTGTTCACGTGCACACGCACACGCACACACAAACACACACACACACGCACACGCACACACACACACACACACGCACACACACACACAAAGAGAAGCACACCATCTGTCCATTACAAACACAGATAGATGCATCCACATAATTAATTTTAATGTTCTATAAGAAATTAGACTTGCAAAAGTTGCTTTTCCTTTGACCAGAGCTCACCATAGAGATCACGGTGGGTGCTGGCTCATTTATAGTGGCTGATTAATTATCACAGTATTAAGTCCAATTGCGTAACACATGTATAATAGGTACCATCTAGACCCATCTGTTGACTGAACAAAGATGACTGTTGACTCATTACTCGATGTGGACAACAACATATGAATGTTTTTAAAATAATAACAGCATTTCCTCTGTGTGTTCATTTTGATGTGGTGCACCACCACAACAAGGAAATAACCACCACTGCAAGAGAAATGTGAAATTTAAAAAAACTTTTGGAAGTAATGATTATAGTATGATTAAAAACATTTTTAGCTCCAGAACCTTAACCTAAATCATATTTTTGGCCTAACCATAGACTGATTAAGGACAAATGTAGAATTGCCTCTCAAAAGCATCACGGCTGCACAAATATTACACTGAAACACTTTTGTTTTGATTTCAGAGTCTGTTTTAGGCTTTATTCTGATGCTTCTCTGCTCATGGAGGAGATCAATACAGGTTGAAACTGCACCTCCACAGTATAAATAAATACTTGAATGATGCATGTTTTCTTTTTTCAATAGGATCAAAATATAATGCAGAAAGCTCACTGCACCCAGGTGGAGAAGATAGTGTCTCTGCATGATAAGGAGAGGACAACCCTGGAGAAACTACTAGAGAAAGCCATCAAGAAACGTGGGTAAGTGGGACAAAAAATAAAAACAAACATGCTCAACGTTATGTGAAAACCAAATTAGGGGGAAAAAAATGAAGAATACAATGTACTGACATTATGGCACTGCATAGCCCGGGTTTGCAATGTAGAGGTCGAAGGATACCAGTCTGCTCAGTGACAGAGCTAAACGGTGAGAACTGCATTTAAAGTAGCTAACTCTGATAACATGGAGAAACTTTTGTTTGATCTACATTTTATGTATGTATTTGTTTTTGACCACAATGTGATCAGATAAAAAATTATAATACAAGGATGCAACTTATACACTAGCTTTTGGCTAACTGGAAGGGAATTTAGTTTGTGATCAATAACACGGGTCTCTTAAAAACTTAATTTTTCCCGTCTGACATCCCTCTTTTGAGATGAAAACACTTTAGTCAAGTCAATTTTTATTTGTATAGCACCAATTCACAACATTCACTTTCCAAATAGAGCAGGTCTAGACCTTCAGAGGAAAAGAACAAGAACGTACATTCTAGTATCAATACTTAACTCTAGATTTGACTTGCATGTTATTTGTCTCTTATATATATTTGCTATCCTTACAGAGAAAACAACTGCCAAGAGCTGAAGAAGGAGACAGAAGATAAGATCCAAACACTAGTCACTGATCACAAAGCCAAGGTAAGACTGCAATGACTTCACATCCCAAAACCAACATCCTTTCCACAGTTATTTGCGATGAGGATGACAAGTGCCTCAGCTGTGGATAACCGACTGTGTACATGTTGTGTGTGTGTGTGTGTGTGTGTGTGTGTGTGTGTTGTGTGTGTGTGTGCGCACGCAGGTAAAGGACATCACAGCACAACACACTAAAGAGTGGTCAGAACTGAGCAGCAGTCACGGCAGCGAGGAGCAGGAGATGAAGGACAGCCACGTCACACAGCAGTGCGAACACCTCAAGAAACTCCTGGCCACCGTCCAGGAGCAGCAGACCATGCAGCTCAAACTCATCCATGAACGGTGAGAGGTTCACAGACAGATGCATGCATAACACCCATTCACTGAAGGTGGTCAAACCCAGAGGGACATCAACCCTGTGATTTCATTGCTAAACTGAAGCGTCATTTCCCTAGCCGTTGCTTGCAGCTACAAGTATTACTGTTGTTCTACATACGTTCTACATAAGTTTCCTCACAGTAAACGTGGCTTTTTTTTCCCCACAATTTTAGGCAAAGCAAAGAGATGCGTGCCAACCAGGCCAAGATGTCCATGGAAAACAGTAAAGCCATCAGCCAGGACAAGACCATCAAAAACAAGGCAGAGAGAGAGAGGTGAGTGACCTACAGGTTACTGCATCCATCTGTTAGCATGTAGACATTCTCTCGCAACTTTTCTGTGGCACTTGTAACACCGTGGTCCTGTCTTTTTGTCCTTTAGGAGAGTGCGAGAGTTAAACAGTAGCAACACCAAGAAGTTCCTGGATGAAAGGAAGAGGGTGGGTTGTTTAGAATTCACTTTTTTTTTATATTTAGCTAAAAAAAATACACGAGGAATTCTCCCTATTTAGTCCTTGCACAGGTACCGCATTGCTAGCATATAAATGTTTGGATGTGTGTTGGTACTTCAGTAGTTCAGCTTTACAGTGTAAATACAATGAAACATTCCCATTTTTCTAAAGATAATAGATAGATAATAAATATAATAAATAAATAAAGATAATAAATGTCTGGTCAAGAAGAAGACCGCACATTTGCCGTTTCATCATAACAGAAAACATCTCTGAATAAAATCTTTGTTTTTTCTTTATTAACATGTTGTATATTAACAACATTAACATGCTTTGCTCTCTTAATCAAAGCATGATTGAACACAGTAACAAAAATTGCCTTTTTTGATTTTGCTGTTGAATAATAAACTAAAACATTTTGGTTATCACAATTTGTTTCAGCCAAAGTTTAAAGAAAACAGTCACAGTTCACATCAAGTCAACCCTGAACCACTGCTCTCATCTTTGATGGCCTTTTAATCATGGATTGAAACTCATTGTTCAAAGTTACTATTTATGTATGAGTCTAAACAGGAGCTAAATGGCCAAAATGTATTGCCCTTGTCCCTGTTGTATCTGCAGCTGGCTATGAAGCATCAGAAGGAGATGGAGCAGCTACAGAAAAACCAGAGAGAACAGTTGGAGAAACTGGAGAAGTTCAATGAGCAGGTACAACACTGAATAAAAGAATGAACCTCGCAGTCAGAATTTCACGACCGATATACTGTAGATTTTAGGAGAAATGGCTGAAGTTAACTGGTCAGCCATCCAACTTGCCATTAATTGACAGCTGTTCTTCATCTGAACTGCTGACATGTCTAACCCCAGCATTTATCAGACCAATTTCCCTCACAAAACAGTGTCCCTGTTTATGGACATTCCTGCTCCACTGGCTCTTTAAGTATACATGTAACTCGTGGCTGGGGACTACTGCAGCTCTCTGGCTGATTTCTTCCCTAGACAATGGCTCCAGTTTGTATCATTTGTGATGTAAACTGTAATTAGTTTTACAGGAAATGTTCCACAAGGCTGGCATCAGAACTGTCTTAAGGGACTCGAGAGACAAACTCTTACTGTTGCACTTTTCTTCTTATAGAAGCATTGCTTTGCACACGCAGTTGAATAAACCGTGTCTCTCTACCCTACACTTTATAGTGTACATTACAAATACTAGAAATGAAAGTATAGTTTACCCTTGCATATAAATGTCTCATGTTTCCATCTTTGCCTTTTATTTTGTCATCTGTCACACTCTGTTACCTATACATGTTTTACTTGATACACATAGTCATTTGTTTTTAATATGATTTGCTTCTCCTGGCACAGCTTTTGAAATCACACCATGCAAACAAACAGGTTCAAGGTAGGCATCTCCATCTCACTCAACTCTACCTCTCATACCGCTTCTGTCAGTGCATCACTTGATAATCATGTTTCCTTCCATCTCTTTACCTTCTACCTCTCAGTCATGTTACTTATTTTTTCGTCACCTCACTTTTCTGCTGAGCCTCTTAAAATCTGTATTTTTTTCTGCCTTTTTAAATTCCTACTGTAATGAGCAGTCTTGAACTGAATCACCACTGAGTAAAGCAGGGAAGTGGCATGCGACAGACCTGTCTTTGAATAGATTTCAAGATTTAAAAAAAAAAAAAGTGATTCATTTCCTTTTGTATTGTGAAATCCTATTCCCACATCTTTAGTCTGCAGCTCTCAGGGTGTCAGCACTGCCAACTAGCAGCTTGAGTCATTTATCACCATGACTCACCATCTATTACTACGAAAAAGAGCCAGCTCACAACCTGCTCCACTGTGCTTTCACTCCAGCTCATAATCATTTGCTTTCATAGTATGTGACGGTGTCTCAGCACGGACGTTTTGTGGCAACCATTACATGTCACCCCTACCAAGCATTTGGTTTATATTACCTGCAAAAGTATGCAGTTATTGGCACCCATCAGAAGGGATTATTGCTGAGGTAGAAACAGAAGTGTCGCTCTCTGATCAACTGATGTATAACATTGCAATATAACATTAAGAACTTACAGCTTCAGATCAAACTTGCAAATATTGAAATTGGTAACAAAAGACAAAAAGTGGATCCTCTGCACATGTTAGAGGTGTGCATTTAGTGTGAAGGCTACTTTCCATGGCTGTGTGTTTTCTCAATGTATTTTTGTCCCCTCAAAGGCCAAGGACATGCAGCAGATGGTGAAGCTGGAGGAGGAGATGGACCGCAGACCTGCCACGGTGGTGTGAGCGACTGAGACTGAGACACACACCCACACGTATACATGCACACACACACACACACACACACACACACAAGTGCAGAAACACTCCACCACAGTTAGCCCTCAAACAACCCAGAGACGAAAAACCCTGCCTACATCACTGTCTCTGTACTTCTGTCATGCTCACACACAAACACACAGTAGCTCTCTTCACCTCTTTTTTTCTTCTGTTCATTCACCTGCTCACCCTGTCCTCTAAACCCTTACCCCACCCACTAACTTTACACCACTGAGCCATTGGTGCTTATCACTGTTTGACAGGGGGTTTAACCACTTATCGAGTAAGGAAATGTTACCTCGGAGATGAAGCGACAGAGTCAGACGCATCCCCTCCTCCATTGCATGTAGATCTAAATTTTCTATCACCCTCACTGTTCTCTGTGATCTACGGGCAACACAGCTGCAGCTATTGGTGGGGACACACACACACACACAAACACGTTCACTCATGGGTCGGATGAAGTGGACATCCGTTCCCTTTTTGACTTGTTTTTATTTTTTATTTTTTAAATCGGTACCCAATTAACAGCTCCAGAGACAGCGTGGATGAGGGGAGAAGAATATGTATAAGATTTGTCATTTCAGCACAGATGAATAAACTTTGTGAAATACACTGTACGCTACACACCAGTCCTGTCCTGAGCACTTTGTATGTAATAGGCCATCATAACAATGTGGAAAATGTAGCAGTGCACTACTAGAACTACTAGTTTTCTGTATTTCAGTAAGAATGTATTTTTAAAAAAAAATCACTGTATGAAGGAGAAGCAAACCCCCAGTGTCGCCTAATCCTACAATGCAAGTTGTTTGACTTCACAAAAGAGGTATTATTGACTTTTTTTGTTGTTCAACAATGTTACAGATGAGTATAAAAAGGCTTATTATAAAGTTGAGTAGGAAGACTGTAAAGGGAACAGGGGATACTGCTCACTTTATCGTGGCTGATTCCTGTCAAATGTACTTTTAATCATTAGGCTATACCCAACCCAAGAGATGGTGTAATATCTGTGCCTCACTTCCCCTTAAAAATGACATACTGTAGTCATTTCTATTTTTTAAAATTTACTTATAGTCAATTTTCACAAGTTTACAACTGCAAAACTCTTTAATACAACATTCTATACTCATCATTTGTGGCTCAAAATCATGTATACTATGCAAGAAAAAAAGATGAACAAACACATGATTCCCTCAAAATAGTAAACAAGACATGTTTTTTGAAGTTATTGCTCCAAACTGAGGCAATATCATTAGTAGTTACAACACCTAGTTGAAACGATGACGATATAATGAACTGGACATCTACTAGTAAGTACAAGGTTAAGTAGAATTATGATGGTCCTTTGCATTAAGGGGTTTTGCACTTAAACTGAGAATCAAGCCAAAGCTGTAAATGAATCCATTCTTGGCAGCCCGTTAATTCTGCTGTAATAATTCTTTTAATTGACCGGCCTTTCACCGTCAGACAAGAACTTTGGCCGACAGAAGTCAACGCCATTTCGTCTTGTCAGTTTCCCACTCATTAAGGCGTTGTTGAAACGAAGTGCTCCCTTAATAGCTTCTTGACTGCACCTTAGCAACTTCAGCTAGTAATCCTCATCGTTCCCCTCCTCGCCTTTCGGCCGGGGGACATCAGACACAATAATTATAACAGATTTGTAACGAAGCCTGTGACATGGCTGCCACACACTGTCCACACTGGGGATTTCAGACTAGGCCTGTATCCCTCTATGTCCCAAAATGGTTCCCCTTAAATGTAGCAGTTATACAGAAGGTTTAAGGAAGCATTACTGTTATCAGCGCAGTTGATACTGCTGTACAAAAAAACTACTGCAGAGAGAGAAATGTGATGGAGAAGTACTATAAAGTAATCCCATGGGTACTGTAGTATTGTGCACATATGATGATGCCAGGCACTGACACTGCATGGCGTAACACCAACAAAGATCAAGCAAAATGACAAAAAGTCAAGATATGATATGAAAACACATAAATATGAGGATAACGCACCTCTAGGTATTTTGGCCTTTATAAGATTTTTTCCTGTTGTTTTATTCTGCTGTAATTCACTTAGAGGGTAGACGGGATGTTCTTGTATATACTGGAATGTATGTAGTTTAATTTTACTTTTTGACCAATTGTGTTCCGTCATTCAAGGGCTCCGGGATAGAGTGGGTCTGCTGGAAATTGGGGAAAGACATTTATCAACCACTGGGATTTCTTGTTTGTTTTTGTTTCTGTTTTCCAGTCTGCCCTTACTGCACCACACAACACAGTATAAAACTCTCACCACATATCTAGTGCAGAGATAAACGAGTAAAAAGTGCTTTTAAATTTTATTCCATCGCTTTCAAATGTGCCACTCAGTGTCTGTTAGGACGTTTAAATTATTTTATGAATGATAAAATGCCAAATTAAGGGGTTATTTATATGAAGATATATATATATATAAATAAATCAATATATATATTATATATATTAGATATAATGTGTAGTTTAAGATTATTATGTTTGTTAGAGGCTTTTTTGCACTAGTTGAATGTTTATGTTGTGTGATTACATGTAACCTTTGGCTCTAGTTTGTCGAAAAAAGCAGATTATTTTTGCAGAGCAACGTCACCGATTTGAGTTCCTCGGTTTCTACTGTATCTCCTCTGTTTTCTATTTTAACTGTAGCTTGTCAACAAACCATTCTGTGCGCGTTTTTGTATTTATATTGTATTGTTGAACTTATAGCAATGAAAATACCGTTGTTATCCAGCTCCTTTAATACTGTTTTATAGTATGTGTACCAATAAATCCAGGTGTAAAATGGGACATAACCCTGTGGCTCATTTGTGTTTTCTTGTAGGCTAATTGTGAGTCATTTTCTTGTACGTCAGAACACAATCTTAGCGTTTGACTTGTCTGTTTATTTAGTTGGACGGAAACCAAGAGATAACCGTATTAACTGAATATAAAAAATAAAAAAAAAGAATATTAAAAAAAATAAAAAATGAAAGTGCTATTTTGAGGAGGCAGGAATATTTAAATAAAGCTCGTGGGGTTTTGTACTTCAACAGCACCACCATTTAAGAAATTTTCTTTTCTCTGACTCATTGAAAATTCCAACATGGATGCTTGTCTCCTCGGTCTCTTCCATCTCACATCTGATCAGTGCTTTGAAAATGTCTCAAGTGGAGTCGCACTGTGTGTAGGCCAGTTTTAATATTGTCTAGAGCGGGAGTGCGCAGCGCGTGTACATACACCACCCACACACTTATTTACCAAACAATGACCACCGCTGTCTAATCGCATTCAACAAGTGCGAGATGGATTCGTATCCCAGACCCACTCTTGAACGCAGGCGGCTCCAGCGCTGAAGCTTTTGTCATTATAAGCCAAGTATTTCCATTAGAAAGACTGACAAAGCACGCTAATTATGTTTGCGTTGCCGGGCAACTCCGTGGCTTCCCCTTCCCTATATAACAGCGCTGATGGGTTTGTTTTGTCCGCACTCGTTGAGTGGAGAGGTTTCCAAGCCTGCTCCAAATAAGTTTTTGAACCATTTAAGAATCATGCTCAAAGCTTCCGGGAAGTCTGACGAGCAAACGGGCACCAAGATCCTCCTGGAGGCGATGTCCAAGGATAAAGTCCACCTGGCAAGGTTTGTTCTGGACGCGCTGGATGGGGAAATCGTGGACTCCATAACAGAGGGCGCACAGACGCCCCTCATCTCGTCTGTCTTGCTGCCTGACGGCCAGACTCGGTGCAAGTTTGTAGAGCTTCTGCTGCAGAGAGGGGCCAGTGTCAACTGTCAAGACGGCAACGGGCGCACCGCCATCAGTTACGCCTGTGAGAAAGGCTACCTGGATGCCGTGAAGATCCTGGTCCGAAGCAACGCAGACCCGGAGATTGTGGACTGCTGGGGCAACACTGCCCTGATGTACGCCACAGTAGCAGGTCACTCCCCCGTTGTCGAGTTTTTAGTGAGAGCTTTCAAGAGGCTGGGTCTTCAGATAGACAGGCAGAATAAAGTTGGCAACTCTGCTGTCGGAGTGGCAAAGTTTCTCGGCCACACAGAGTGCATCTTTGCGCTCACTAACAGCTCCAAGAAGGGCCGTGAGTCTGAAGGTGGCGCTCAGGGAAACATTCAGCCGCGACTTAGTCTGAGATGTGGTGAAGTGAATGACAAGTTTGAGAGGAAAGTTGGACATTTAGTGAACAAACTCGAGGTCCTCCAAACATGCAATCGTGCAGATTGCCTATTGGTTCAAAATTGTACATGGCAGCCAAGACCTCCGATTAGGCAGAGTAAATTACCATCGATGGACTCAATAGAGGAGTTTGAAAGAGAGAATGACAGCTCCTCCTCGCCTCCTCAGGAGCTAAACTTCTCTGGAGTCCTGACCCATAAAACCCATTCCGACCATTCTCCCAACTGCAAGCATCGTAAAACCGGGGAAAGGCCGACCGCCATTGAGGATCATCTCCCCCCCCTTATACAGATCTGTGAGCCTCAAAAATCAATTTTCTTCTCACCTCGGCCCAGCAGAAACACGCCCAAACCAAGCGCGACCTCCACCCTGGGAATCTTACTGACTCCTATTCTAGCCAACAAAAGTGAGAGTGAATCGGGAACAGAAAAATCGAAAATGTTAGACTTCGGTGTTCGCAGATTTCACGACAGCTATTACCAGAAAAGATGCAGTCTGCCTACCAGTATTCTCAGCCCCACACCTCCGGAGCGCACACTGGTGCCTTTGCTTAAATCCAGAACCGTGAGAAGGCGCGAAGCGTCTCCCTGCAAAGCTGAACCACAGCAGTTTACCGCGCCGGCCGCCGCCGCCGCCGCTTCAACCACCACTTTCTCAGTGTTGAGTAACAAGCTCTTACGCAGATTTACCTCCCCGGAATTTAAAAAGGACGTGAAGGACTTGGATCCAGTGTTGACTTCAGGGCGGATTCCGCGATCAGAAACTTTCCCCCAAAGCATAAAGCATCCCCAGGTCGGCAGTAAACCCAGCATCGACAGCATCAGCTCCGTAAAGTGCGAGTTTGACTTTCATTTCAGAGTGCCAAACTCTTAGAAGCTACAGTGCGTAAAAAGTATTTGTACTTATCCGGCACTAATCTCAAGGCAGCAACGTGGTTACTCTGTTAGACCTGGTTCCATCAAATATATAATCTGTTAAATTCAATCACGCAACTTTTCTAAATTCAATCCCTGACCTCCTGATCCTCACTGACCTTCAAAACTCAAATGCCTTGTCCAGACAGCGTCGATGTCTAATGTTCTCCTCACTGTTTAACAACATGGTGACCTGCAAAAGTTTCTGCCATTTCTACCCGAAGGACAAAGGGAGTAAAAACGAAGTCAACGGCTTTTAACTACAACTTAACTGGAAAGAGCAGGTAGAAAAAAAAATGATCAGCATAAACTATGTGTGTGAATCCCAGCAGCTGCTAGCTGGATACTGCAGCTAGAGTGAAACGCAATGTCTTACTTCTAGCTTCAGCAAATGTGTTTAGCAGCATTTGCCACTCCTTTTGGAGTAGGTGGGGGTTGCATCGAAGGTGGAGGGGCGATGTGCAATAAATCATAAATCATACAGCATTTATTTGTGTTGTCTTTCATACGTCTCTGTATCTTTCAGCACAGCAGTTCAGATTTATGTCAGGGGATCTACCATCTCCAGGTACTGATGTTAATGGTTGGTGCAGTGAATAAAATCTCAGTATCCGAAATGAACATGCTGTCCTGTGTTGGGTGACTGTGTGAGAGAACGTGAGGCATTCAGAGACCATTACCGTTTACGGTGTTTACAGTTCGTTTTTAAAAGGTTTTGCATGTCGTTTTTGTTCTGATAACTGATTTCGGTTTATGTGTGAGCTCATGGACTCCCACAGAGAAAAATTATTGTTTATGTTCGGGTAATTAGTCTCAAGATTACGTTTCATAAAGCAAGAGGGAAATTACGCCCTAATAGTTCCAGTGCAGGGTCACTTATGTCATAACTTCTGAAACGTTTCTCAATATCTCGACACAATAAATATCTTTCTTCCAAATAAGAAAAGTTTGGTCGTGTCAGTAAATGCGATGAAATCTCGCCTCATCGAATGGTAAAAATAAAAGAGGATTTTAAGTCTAAGTGGATTTTTGCAGCTCTGATTCTCACCCACTCTCAGCTGCAACCGTGCTGAAGTGGAGTTTCAGTGAGGGAGGGAGGGGGTGTTGTCGGCGTTTCCCTCCAGACATACATCATTTCAGCCCATCCTACAGCTGCTACCACAGAGATGGAGACTACAGCATTGCGGGAATAACAGACTGCATGCCGAGTCCTTCCTCGCAGGAGACATTTTATTTGACGGACTTTTTCTTTCAAGACGGATCATTTCTCCTGACGTTAATAATGTTTAGAGGGAGCTCAGTCTTGCGGCTGTCACTGGGTTAAAACCTGTCAACCTTGGCGAGGGAGGTCGGTTTGGGCAGCCAGAACTCCTCGGTGCCGGCTGATTCTGCAGTGCAAACCGGATCTCACGTCCAACCTGGAGACATTTTTGCTGCATTCACGATGATCTGAGCGTGACTTCTGAGCGCTGAGTAGAGGCATCCCTCCTCTCTCTCTCTTTTTCCTTTCTCTCCCGCCTCCCCTCTCCGTCTCTTTCTTTCACTCTTTTCTTTTCGTGGTTTCAGCACAGGCTGCCCATTCAATTAGCCCCTTTTTTCCAGCGCTGGGGAAGCTGAGAGAGATGGGACGACTCGGTTTCAGCACCACGGAGAGCGCCCGACTTCTGCTGCTCGGTGTTTTTGGTAAGTGTGTGTGTGTGTGTGTGTGTGTATGTGTGTGTGTGTGTGTGTGTGTGTGTGTGTGTGTGTGTGTGTGTGTGTGTGTCGTGACTCCTCACTGCGTGTGCACCTACTGCGCGTGTTGAAGCATGACAGTGTATATGTGTGTGTGTGTATGTGTGTATGTGTGTGTGTGTGTGTGTGTGTGTGTGTGTGTGTGTGTGTGTGTGTGTGTGTCTTTCAATGGGTTGTAATGATTCACCTCTTATTTCGTTCTAACATTGATAATCCCTCAATATAAAATCCGTCCAAAAACGATCAGACTTGCAGTTCATCACTTCCTGACGTTGTTTAGACTGCAGCCAGTGGCGTGCTGTTGCTCCCCTGATACTGCAGATTTCAGTCTCCTGTGTTTTAACCTGGTTTTGACTTTGCCGTGAGGAAACAGAGGTGAGATGCCAGTGATCAGAAGACTTGGGGGCCTTCAGCTAAAATCAGAGCAGCCCATTACGCCGCCGTTTATGCTGATTCTGCATGTTTTGATGTGTGTGCGTGAATGTGTGTGCCCCATCTGTTACCACCTTGACATAACGCATCCCCACCTCCAACCTTTCAATATTCTATTCTGTTCCATTTGGTTACCAGGTGTGCTGCTGCTGTCCGTGGTGCTGGCGGAGCAGGAAGGGGAGAACCTGTCTGGTCTCTCCAACAACCCGGACAAAGCCATCTTCGCGGTCCGAGAGAACGGCACAACATGCCTGATGGTGGAGTTCGCCGTGAAATTCCTCGTGCCATATGACGTGCTTGCGCTCAACGGGATAGACGTAAGGAATCCCCCCATGCATTTTAATACATGTGGATGCTTTAAAAAGGAAACGCAGAGGTTGATTCAAACATGTAACATGCGTAAAATGTTGCTTTGTGTTACAGACGTTAAAGGTTTATCCATTGCGCGTAACGGCGGTTGCAGCGCTTGAAAAATGTTTTACATGCACAATATTTTGACATTTATTCAAATTGACCGTTTTCGTTCTTATTAATAA